CGTATTCAAATCTATGAAAACGAAGAAAAAAAAAGAATTGTTGGAAGCTTTATTCTCAAAAATGAATCGTGCAACACATGAATTTTGATTTAGTCAGTGGTTTCAGATTGAATCTATGAAAATGGAAAAAAAATGTCGAAAGCATTTCTCTCAAAAATGAATTATGCAATACATGAATTCAAATTTAATCGAACTCGGAAACTTTTAAAAGAACTAGTGTTATATGGCTAGGAAATGCACTACGTGGCAGTCAATGGAGCATATGATTAAAGATAATTAAAAGTAGAAAAGTGATTAAATATAATGACCGTTTCGCCGCAATATTGAGCTTTATATTAAAGCTTACTTATTTTATCAATCCAAAAAGAAGGGGGGACAGTGACGGATCCAAGATTTGAAGGTTATGGGTGTTTACTTTCTTTAGCATAGAAGAAAAGAAAAAAAAGCAAACATATAGCAGTGAGAAGAAAAAAAAAGCCAAAAAAACCTTGACCAGGACTCAAACCCTCACACTTAATGTCGTCAACTCAAGCCTTACCTTGCATCTGAGAACCAAAGCGCCCATCAAACCTTTTGATTAATGGGTGCTCAAGAATTAATTATATCATCTTTTCAATATTCTCAATGAACATATACAAATTTCCGTCTGAGTCAATGGGTGTTCGAGCACCCGATACCCTCCACGTGGGTCCGCCCGGGGGGTTAAGAAAAAGATGGATACCCACAAATTACTTTTTATTCTCTAAATTCTACGTTAATTAACATGACATATTGACCATTTTGGATAATCTCAATGTGAGGCAAAAATGATATTTTCGTTTCATTTTATATGATATTATTTGATGGATAAGTTTCAAAAATAGTTATTTTTTAACATGTATTAAAAAAACATAAATTAAAAAGTCATTAAAATACGTAATTAATTTGTGAAATTTTTCACTTGCTTTTATTTGAAATTTATGACACTGTCATGGTACATTTTTGCATAAAACAATTGGCCATCTTTTTAAAAAAAATTGTGAAAAGTGGTTAGTTGTGCAAAATTTGTTTGATTAAATATAAAATTTAAGAAAAAATTAATTGAAACTCGTGCTAAAATACATTATAGATATTTACGCAATACGTAATTATACATAATAATTTCTCTTGCTGATGACTCAAGGATTTAAAATTCTCTCTTATCCAATTAATTAGTAAAAGATTTAATGTTAAATGCGTCTATATATTTGCACCTAATCTTAACTACTTTTTTCCTATCACTATTAACCTTCTTACAACATATTCTCATCATTTAATTAAATAGGATTTTGAATTTTCCTTTTTTGTTCCTTTCATACCTAGATTCGTTCCCAATAAGGGCTAAGCGTTCATCAGAACAAGACAAATAAAAATATTTTATGACATTAATTTATATCACGTTTTATATATAAAATAACTAATTTCATCATTTCTAATCACAGAAACATCTAGCAAAGAAATTCAAAAACTCAAGTAAACAAAAAATATCAATTTTGGAAACAAAAAAAGACAAGAAAACACTACAAGTTGTGGCACACAATTTGCGAAAATGTCTTTGATCTTTGATCTTTGATTTATAAGTCTACAACTTTTTAATAACTAGTTGTTGACAAATTTGGATTCCATTTGATAATCTCTACCATATCGTGAGTTGTCAATTTAATATCCAGCTAATTATTTTTGGCATCAATTAATAGATATTAAGACCACCATAATGATAAATCTTTGCTTGGACTAATTAATGCTGGTCAAGAAAATTATCTAATTAATTAGTCCTCTAGCTATATTGATTAATTTGCATGGCCCCTTGCCTCCAAAAATTGAGGAAATTGTCAAAAGATGGACAATTCAAAATAAAATAAAATTGGTATCCACATGAAAACCTGATTGAATTTGGATTTGTGCCGAAAAGTCCCGAAGTGAGTGTTCCCTAACAAAGGTTATTCTGTATCCAGAGGGACTGAAACTCAAAACTTCTAATTAAGAATGTGGGGTACTTACTACTCCATCAGAACCCTCGTTGGTAAAAAAAAATTAATCCAAAACCATAACATAATTATCAATTGTACATGCAATAAAAGAAGCCACCTACTTGCAGCTCATATTAGGGTCTTAATTAAGCCCTTCATAAAGAACAAATTAATTTGACTTTTCAACCCTTTGACGAAAACTATAATCTATTTGAACAATTTTTAGGAATGTTAAAAATATTTATTTTTAAAAAGTGAGGTGTTTAGTTAAGAAGTAGAAAAAAAAATGCTTTTAAAGAGTAGTAAGGGTTGTTTTTTTAAAGCTGAGGCATGAAAATGTATATTTTTCTCTTAACTTACTTTTTTGAAAAGTTACACTTAAAAATATCTTTTAAAAATTTGATGAATTATTAATTATTCGTACTAAAAGTGTTTTTCAAGTTACTTAGTCAAATACAAATTATTTCTTATAAAAATATTTTTATTATGAATATATTTTCAAAATAAACTGATTTTGACTATATGACCAAGCATGCGAGACTATTACTTAATTATTATCTTCCAAATTCTAGCTTATAACAGAATTTTAGAAGCTCAAAAATACATTTTCGAAACAATCGAAATATATCTGCAAAATTCATGACCAAATGTTTACGATTTTTATTTTTTTTGCTTTTGTATACATTCGTTCATGATTTTTTTAAAAAATTCTTTTTATAAGCAAAAATACTTTTGCATTTACTATACAAAAGAGGTGTGAACTTTTCTCATTTGTTTCAATATTTCAATATGTTTTATGGAGAATGTTTACGCTTGACTTTATTTCTTATAATACAGAATCTTTGATTAGCTTATAGAGATGCTATTTTTATTTTATTTTTAAAAAAAAAAAACTTATGGAGATGCTGAATATTATTCAGAATCCTTGATTATGTATTTAATTGTGTCTTACACTTGAGAGACTATGAGTTCTAATAATTAAATTTGAAAAATCAAATAAAATAGGACATCAATTATTCTTTTTGTGTTGACTAATTTTTACTATTAATCCAGTGATAGATTCAGGACTTTCATTTTGGGAGTTTGAAAAATATAAGTACAAACGCGTGAATAAGTCAACAAAACACAATTTCAAGAAGTAGTAGTATATAGTTTATAGGTACAAAAAGTTAGTTCCGTTATAAAAGATTTTTAGCAATTTGGATCTTCTTTCACGTTTGAATTTTTTTTGGGTTTAAATCTACTCTTTTAGCACGTTTTTTTTAAATAAATAAAAAATGTGAAAGATTGGTCTTGAAACTAAATGAAAAGAAACTAAAAAAATAAAATGTTCACAATGGATTTTTTTTTGGGTTTAAATCTACTCTTTTGGCATGTTTTCTTTTTTTAAAAAAAAACGTAAAAGATTGGTTCTGAAATTAAATGAAGAGAAGCTAAAAAGTAAAAAAAAATTCACAATGAGGTTTGAACCTGGACATGAGGGTTAATTCAAAAAGAGATCTACCACTATGCGACAATTTACTTCTTGTTCACGAAAGAGTTAAAAATTAATATATTTACATAATTACAAAAATTTTACCTTATGGCGAAGGTAAATAGTTAAAAAAGTTCCCCGTAGAATGCAAGCATTGAGGCTTTCATCGAAACAAAGAGAGAGGAGCAGAAAGCCACTTGACTGTAAGGAAAGGAGCATGTATCCTTTTTTTGTAAAGAAAGAGGGCTACTTCACGATCTTGTAACTTTTTATTAAGAGAGTTCGAGTGAACCCTCTGATACCCATGTGGATCCGCCCCTATACTAATCGTACTGATATATTTTAATCTTAATACAAACAAATGAAATCGATATATATATATATATATATATATATATATATATATATATATATATATAATAAACTCTAAAAAGAAATCAAAACAATAATAAAACTCAATAATATACCTCAACCATTAGTGGTGGTCAACTAATCTAATTTCCTTATGCATGAGACACGTGTAAAAACCATGACAGAGATTCACATGATGTTCATCAAAGATGATAAGCTTGAATTTTGACCATGTCTAATCTTTGGGTTAATTAGCCACTTCTCAAAAATAAAACTATTGTGACCAGGACCCTCCCCCTTCCACTTTCATGGTCGAAGCTAGTAAGGATTCAAAAATCTATTCAATGAAAAGTTATTATTATATATATATATATATAATATGTATTAATTTTCTTTTGATTTTCATATTTCATGAAAAAATTGATTTTATTATTGTGGGTATTCCCTTTAATAAAGAGAGAAATATTGAAAATATTGTTAAACTTTAACGTAAATTGTTAGTTTCATTCTTAAACTATTAACAACCTTAAAACATTTTTTATTTGACAAATTGAATTTAAATACACACGTAGTATGTCACATACATAACAAGTGGTTTTAAACGTTTGTAAGAGTGTGAGACTCTTAATAAAAAATCAAAGAAAGTGTTGAAAACATCCTTATATTTGACAAGAATTTAAGGATATTTAAGTTTAGTTAGTCCAGTAAATTTTTTTTACTAAAGTATCAATTGTTCAGAAATAAAATTAACGATTCACGTCAAATTTAAGAATATTTTTTTTTCTTTAATAAAAAATTTCCTCACAACTACCCCTCATGGTGTCTTGCATGTAATTATCACATTCTTATCTTCCTACCTTTTTAAGTTTTCATTAATTTTCCAACCTCCTCCCTTCAATATTTATACTAACCCCTCTTTCCTTCATCCACCTTATGGTACTTGATTCATTTTGCCATAGAAGTTTTTGTCTTATTGTAATGTTTCTATATATTCTTCAATCACCATCATCAATACATAGAAGAGAAAAACTCAACCAACCAAAACAAAATACCAAAACCCCCATTTACAATAAACCTTCAAAATTTTCCAATTCATAATCACCATATCCATTAATTATCATATTTTCTTGCCCTTCTTGTTTATTTGTAGTCATTTTATTTCATAGAACACATATTTAAACAAACAAAAATGGAGTTAACTTGTAGTACTAACCCCACCCCCACCTCCACCAAAACCCCAGATTCAGAAGTTGATACCCCACCTTTAATTAAGCCTTTATCTTTCAGCAACGGCAATAATCACCACAACCATCACCACCAACCGCCGCCGTGCTCGGCAGTGATTTACAAAGAATGTTTGAAGAATCATGCAGCAAGTTTAGGCGGACACGCCGTAGACGGTTGCGGTGAGTTTATGCCTTCGCCGGAATCCACCCCATCAGATCCCATTTCACTAAAATGCGCCGCTTGTGGTTGCCACCGCAACTTCCACCGCCGTGAACCGTCGGATGATTCATCACCGCCGGCCCACTTCATCGATTTCCGCCACCATATTTTCCCCCAAATTAAGCGATTTTCTCCCTCTCCGTCACCGTCTCTGTCCCTTTCTCCGCCGCCGCTGCCGTCACTGTTCCAGCCCCAACCCGTTACTCCTACAGGTTTAAAATCAGAGAACCCAAATGGTAGAAAGCGATTTAGGACCAAATTTACAGCAGAACAGAAAGAGAAAATGCGTTCGTTTTCGGAGAAATTGGGTTGGAAATTGCAGAAATGTGATGAAACTGCTGTTGATGAATTTTGCAATGAAATTGGAGTTGGAAAAAGTGTTCTTAGAGTTTGGATGCACAATAACAAAAACACTATTGGTAAAAAAGATTACCAAATTTCGAATAACAGTAGTAGAGATCATAGCTTCGAGAACAAAAATGGATTCAATATCAATGGCACCGCAAGCAGCAATGAAGAAGAAGATCATCACAAAAGTAATAACAATGATAATAGTACTACTAGTAATTGTGAGCTTCATCTTCATATTTCCACTAATGGGTCTTCTTCTTCATCCTAATTTTAGTCATTTTATAATTTGTTCTCTCTAGCAACAACAATGAAATAATAAGGATATATTAGAAGGTAAATGTAACTCTCTTTTCTAAATTTTATTATTACTAGATATGTTGTTATAATTGATTATTACATTAAGCATTCTTAGTTATGTTTTTTTCTAGTTTCTTAGTTATGTTTTTGTAGTAGAAAAGTTTCTTTTCTAAATTTTCCTGTAAGATCTCTTTTCTAAATTTTATTACTATTGTGTTGGGTGAGGGTTTGATTTTCACGTTGTAATTCTTAATTTCTAGTTTTTCTAAATAAATAAATAAATTTTACTAGTACTAGATATGTTATTATCTTTTGATTATTACATTGAGCATGCTCAGTTATGTTTTTTTTTTTTTGGAATAATAGTACTTTGGATTCTTTTTTCTTAATTTTAGGAATAATAGTACTTTGGATTCTTCAATTATTGATGACTTCTCTATTGGTCAGATAATATATGATTTAAGTATAGTTAATTACTTAATTTTCATTTCATTAACTAGTTTGTCTTTTTAATACATGTAATAAGTAACATTTAGATGATTTTTAGAATTGTGTTTTAAACATATTTAGTTATAGATATTATAAGGAATAAAATAAGAATTCTCTCAATATTAAAGGTGATAAAACAGTAATTTTTTAAATTTATTTTTTGGTTTTAGGCAATTTGTATTTTGTTGTGAAATAAATATGAATAAAAGTAGTGGAGTATATGATTCTTGAAATTATGAGGATACCTTTAGAAATTTTGGATAATGACACATGTAAATACTTTTAATTTGCTTCATATATAGCCCGCCCATACTTTAGTGTCCTAAAATGGATCGTTTAGGTAGTAGTGTTCGTTTTGAATACAATTTTTTGTTATTAAGATGCAAATTAATGTTGTCTGCTAATTTGTCTTTTTATAATTTAAAATATTGCCATTAATTTCTACTTTTGAAGAGGTTATGTACACTTGTCCTTAATGGGAGCTAATGGCAAATAAAATGGGGTGGTTGGGTAGCAAGAATTTGAATCATAGAAGCTTTACTCATGTCCTTAAGGTCCCAAACCCTAATTTTATTTTATTTTTATGTGTGATCTTCGATCAGCTAGCTCGCAGATATCTCAATTAATGCGAGCTATCTCAATTAATTTTATAGGATATTTATTATATTTTTTATGTTTAGCGACCCCCCCCCCCCCCCCAACCCCTCCCATGGGTCCCCTTCTCACTCATGAAACAACTCTAGCATCAGAGTGATCTAATAGTAAAAGAAGAGTTTAGAATTGCCTACTACGACACCACCAATACAAATATAGGATATTTTGTCTATCAAAATTTAGAAATCATCTAATATTTTTATTTTTTTAGAAATTTATAATGGAGAATTCATAACTTTTAGCCACTTTATTATTTTTTATAATAAGTGTCTGTTATCTTCCCCATATAGAGAGTGAATAATTTTATCTTTCAACATTAGATGAAAAGAAATTATAAAGTATTTTTATTTTTTATTTTTGTTAAAATCTAAAATTATATTCACATAATTCATAGTTATTTTATTAAACATTAATCACATATTTTTACTTGTCATGAAACCTAACTCAACCCCTAATTAAGCATTTTTATTAAATTAATACATACATAATACGGTATAGCCTTCTACACAAAATTTTACCACTTAATATATTTTTATTTATTACATTACTTAACTATAATTAATTATTAAACCTTCAATATGAATAAAAACCTATAATTGTATCAACTTTTTATCCTAATCATTGTCTAAATATTTTAACTCCACCAAAAGATTTAGGGCAACCTTCATTTGACTACCAAGTCAATTATAAAGACAAATATATCCTTTTTAGCATTTATATTTTTTTCTTTTGATAAGGGGTATTTCAGTAAGTTTAACTAGTATCATGGAGGAAGAGATGCATTGTCTAATTAATTATATTATATTATATATAAAAAAAACAATAGATTCAGACTCATGAGCAGCTAAATTATAAAATATATTATCATAGTAATCTGACCTTTTAAGGCAAGTTTTTGTTGGATGTTAAAACAAAAGTTTTGGAAGTTGTAGCTTGACACTTTTCCATTTTTGGTTGGATCTTAAGGTGGTAACATTTGTTTATTCTAACTTAATCATACATTTAGAATCACGATAAGTACCTTTTAATCACCTAATGAATATAATAATCCATCGTAATCAATAAAATAACAACAGAGAGAGATGATAAGAGTAGTTTTTTTTTTATATAAAAAAAATTAAGATAAAAAAGTTCAATAATCAGTCCTCTTGATTGTGACAGTGAAAACCTTAATTCTAACCTAATTTAAATAAATAGTACTTAAATAAATAAAACTCCATTTGTCCTTAAATAGTTATCGCTTTAACAAAAAAATTATCTTAGTATTTTAAAAAAGTTTAAGATAAAAATAATAGTAAATGTTTTTAATTATATTCTCTTTTGCCCAATATAAATAAATTATTAGGAGGACATATCCTTAAGAAACATATTTAGACATTAGTCAAAGGACTTTTCAAATATTATCATTTTGATTCTTCTCAAAAGTAAAGATAATCATCATTATTTGAGATATAAAAATAATTGAAAAATCCAGCAAAAAGAATGGTCATTCAAGAAAAAAAGTTATACATTAATCTTAAAGCTTTCAAAAATTCATTCATTTTGGGATAAAAAAAATGTCAAATAATTTTATATCGAATTAGAGAAAGTAAGGAAGAACTACTTCTTAATAAGTGCACAATTTTTAAAAATATCTAAGAAATACGAATAACTTAATATACTATATCTTAAATTCATGAGCGTCAAGTGAGTTAACACAACAACGACCACAACAGGGTTAGAAAGAGCTTTTGAAGGAAATTGGGTATGAATTATCCATGTGAGTCAATTCGGATCATGTCAAAATAATAGATTAATGATATATAATTATATAGTTAGAATTAAATAAAAAAAATTGAGAAGGGGCACAATATTATTAATAGGACTCTTTTTAACCATTACATCGATAATATTGTTCGATAAAAAGAGTTCCCTCACAGAATTTCCGTGAAGTTCTTTTCCTTCACAATCAATAGAAAATTTCTATCCTTCTTCTCTCAATGAGGTTCAAAAAAAGTTATATATAAAAAATAAAAATAATATTTTTAAACACGATGAACATTATGTAATAGGATATAATTTTAGATTGTAATTTTATATAATTAATATAATTTATTTTTATATGTAATTATACTGTTTAGCTAGTGAAACGAACTCAATAATGCTTTTTGTAGTGTAAAAAGTGATGTTTTCTTTATTTTATCATTGCACCAAATAAACAATTCTTGGATAACTTTAGGGATGGCAATGGGACGGGATGGATGTGGGACGGGGCGGGGCGGGTGGGATGTGGGGCGGGTTGAAGTGGGCTTTTTAAAAATTAATGCGGAACGGAGCGGATTGTGGGTATATGTGATTTTATGTGAGTTCAAATTTAATTTTAAGTTTTTACATGTTATAAGAGTGATAGAGAATTATTTATTAAGATAATTTCTGTAAATCTACTAAAATATTCAAGATAGTAAATGAAAATGGTTCAATAAAATATAATACAATTTCTTACATGTTTTCCATCTCTAAAAAATAAAATTTTAAGTCACTATCCTATTAAATTAATACAACTTAATAAAAAAAAGAATTTATTTTTATGAATTTTAATTTTAGTATCAAATTTAACTAGAAAAAGAAAATATTAAAAAAGTTATGCGGGGCAGATTCATTCGGGGTGGGTTTATGTGGAGCGGGTGGGACGGGTTGAAAATGAAAAAAAAGTAATTATACGGGGCAGGACAAATTAAAAATTTTACGAATTAAGCTCTACCCGCACCGCTCGGCATAACTTTTTTTAACGCTGACATACTAAATGTCGTGACATGACATCATCCTATATGAAAGAAATATAATATTAATATTAATCAAGATTCGAACTGATTTTTATTTTAAATAATTAATTAGGTGCACTTATTATTAAAGTTTTGACGAAGGCAATTAAATTGATTGACACATTTTCAACAAAAGATTTGCGGCTACTTTTTTTCAGAATATATAGTACTACATATTTTATCAAGTATAGTCATGGTCTCGTGGATTTCTTTTATATACTAAATCTATGGAGCACTTCTCTCCGGGGCTCTACACAACGTAAATCGGAATATATTCGAGTTTTAATAGAAATATCGGACACCAGGTGAAAAATCAAATAAATAAAATGAAGGACCACAATTTGATAAGATTGCATATCTTTTGGACCACAATATGTAGTATGAGCTGTTAATCAATATAGAAAATGATTCAGAAGGCCTCTTCAATTTTAGTATGGGCTATTCTTTATTGCTTCATCTTTCAATAATGGGCTGCAAAAAGAATAGCAAGTGCAAACAAACTCTTCACAAATAAGGCCCATTACACCCTAACACTCCTAGAAGTTCCAATCTTTTTGCTTCATTTGGTGACTCGAACGTACTATTTTAGAGTTTAAAACGAGAAGTAGTTACCCTCCGAGCAACTCTCTGAAGTCATTACTCAATTGGGGTGAATGAGAGTACACTAAATATACAAAGAATATACACTAGTATATATAATATGTATAAATTAGAGGTCACTCCAATCGAGTTTAGGGGTTCAAAGTAATTTTACAACTTCTTTTTTGGGGTTAGGGGATGGGTACATTAACACATATATATCATTACCAAAAATGATTTGCAGGATTTAAGCTATGTAAAGTAAAAATTGTCCTAGAATAATAATAGATAATAATTACTCTGACTTAATTCCAAATAAGTTAGAGATCGATTATACAAATTCTTACTTCATTTAAAATAAAAAGGATTGTTACTGTATACTGTATAGCATATCACTAAAATAATAGCCGATAAAAATATTATTTTTTTAATATAAGAATTATTAAACATATTTTAAATTAAATCTTCTTGTTCATCATGAAGATCGATTGTCCTTGCGTGGTCACGAGTTTATAATGATATATCATGACTTGTCCCAAGCTGTT